TCTTCTTGAGAGACAGTGCTGGAGAGTTGGTTGTAGTCGTGTTATGAGTTGTTATCGTGTTGCTAGTTGTAATCGTGTTGTTAGGTATAAATGTGTCGTAGTCGTAAGAGTTTAGTTGAAATATATATATCTATATTCGTAGTCTTTACCGTCACCGCACATTGTATTATATTATTATTTTATGTCTAATAAATAGTAGTTATATTATTTAACAACCACACAATCTCTACATATATATATGTGTGTGTGTATAAATATAGTAATATAATATAATTGGAGTACACCACAAAACAATATGTATACTATTATGCGTGTGTCGGTTTGTGCAATTTTAATATTAATAAAGAATATCCTAACTTATTATATTTTTAATTGTACATATTCTTTATTAATATTAAAATTACCAATTTATAACGCGTAAGCTAAATATAACAGATATGACATGTAATAATAATAATTGAAGCGATATGACAAAAATAGATAGGTATATATATACCGGCGTTTTTATCTGTTTTCATCATCCATAAAAGTCAACATAATTTTTACTAAAAGCAGTTATATACATATCTTCAGCAACTGCAAGAGCAAAAATTTTGAAAGATTTAGATCCAATAAGTCTATTGAAAGAAACATCCTAAGAAATTATAGAATAGTTTAACTATAATTTATTTTGTTATAATTAATCCGTTATTTGTCACTATTCATAATTCTTCAGAAAAGTCATAACAGACCTCTTTAGTAGGCTCACACATTATTTTCTCTTATTTATGAGCCAAACAATAAAATTATGTATTTTCCTCTCTTATTTAATGCTTTCTCTTATTTTCCTATTTTTCTTTTTATTTTCTTTTTTTTTAGATACCTTTCTCTGTTACTCAACTATCTTATTCGCCATTCAAAGTCTTTCAGTTCCTTCTTTTACTAAATTAACTTTCTTCGATTCGCACCATATAAACCACATACCCAGTAAACTTCCACTTCAGGTTTCTATCTGTTGTTGGCAAAAATTCCAACGCAATGTAAAACCGTTCACTCTGGTAAATATATTGTCGAGGTTCCAGTCGATTGAAATAATAGAGGGAAGAAAACTAGGCTTCGTTTTTCATATCATTCCAAGGAATTCTAATATTTAGTACTAATATCTATTATATTTATTGTCTGATATCTATTATACGTAGGTTCTCATCTTTGGAGAGGATTCATTGAAAATAGTATTGTAGAGTCACACAGTCTCTACTCGCTGGAGAGTACCTCGGAATACTCAAATTCACTGCAGAATGTATTTTCTATTCGATTCTTAATAACGCGTAACTCTCGCAATCACAACTCTCGGTCTCAACTCTCTCAAGGACTACCACAACTCTCTAATGCCTCTCTCAAAACTCTCCTCTATCTTCCAGAGCGGGCCCTTTTAAGCCCGTCTGGAAGGCAAGAGCCTCCCCCGAAGGAAGAAAAAGCTCCCTTCGCGTCAAGCTCAGGGGTGGAAGAGACTCCTCCTTCCGGGTTAGGCTCTCCAAAGAGTCATACACACGGGGTTTACACGCGAGGCCACCTCACGTGGCCTGGCCCCGACCTCCTATGACCCATCTAGCAGCCAGCCCCTAACTGGTTCTCTAAACTTGGCGAAGTGTTCTCTATAGAAAGGGTTCTACCATGCTACCCTAATAATGCCAAAAAATATCCCACAATATCTATTATACATTTCTATCAGACTCCTACTAGACTTCTATCGATTTTTTGGTAAAAATCATATAATATAAAAATACGCACATTCTTCAATATACTATCAAGGTTCCAGTTGAATGAAGCTAAGAAAAGAAAAACAGGATAAAGTTCCCATATGAAACCAAAAATTTTTAGCACAGACGTTCGGTATTAATTTCTGGAAGAATGATGTCTGGGTGAATTCTATCTGTCGTTAGCAAAGATATATTCGTAAAAGATAAATTGATAAAATTAATATAAAATTAATCTAATAGATTAATAAAATTAAGATACATTTGTAAACATGTACACGCGTACATTATCTAGACTTCAAGATGATAAGGTTATCCAATACATGTAGTAGTGGTTGTAATATAATAAAATGTGTGGTATGAGTGTGAGGAATGTTTGTGTGGAAGAATGTGTGTGTGACGAGTATGATAGAGTGGCGTAAAAACAATCAGTATCTGAATGACAGTCATCACATATAGACGTTGTGTGTGAGAGAGTCTTCGAGAATGATTCGTGTTTAATAATATATTATCGTGTTCGATAAAACTTCATATTAGTTTATCCATTTACTCACAATACAAACCCAACAATTTCTAATTCATTTGAAAATCCAAAAAAAATTATTACTATAAAATATATAATATTATTGTCACGATATTGTTATATTATTGTTATTATTAATAAAAATATTATTGTCAACATGCCGCTACCGAAAACATACAGTTCTATTTAAACAAGTTTTAACGACATTGAAATTTCAACTTAAATGATCTGAAATAAACAAATTTTGTCGTATTGTTATATTTATAAAAAATAAAATTGATTCCTGATATAATTCTAAAAATTTCTACCACATACTTCCATTCGCTATTAGTAAAAATTCTAATAAAATACAAAAACTTTCTCGTTCATAAATATATCGTCCAAGTTCCAATCGAATGAGGCAACAAGGAAAACGCAGTATTGCTTCCTCATATAATATCAAAAATTTCTATAACAAATTTCCATTCACTATTAGCAAGAATTTCAATAAAATACAAAAACTTTCACGTTCATAAATATATCGTCCAAATTCCAATTGAAGGAGGCAACCATGAAATAGCAGAATTTCATTTACGTTTCCAAAAATTCCTACTATAGACCCTCGATACAGATTCCTATTTATCATTAGCAAGAATTTCAACAAAATACAAATATTTTCACATTCATAAATATATCGTCCAAATTTCAATCGAAGGAGGCAACCATGAAATAGCAGAATTTCATTTACGTTTCCAAAAATTCCTACTATAGATCCTCGATACAGATTCCTATTTATCATTAGCAAGAATTTCAACAAAATACAAAAATTTTCTCGTTCATAAATATATCGTCCAAATTCTAATGGAACGAGGCAATCAGGAAATAGCAGAATTTCATTTACGTTTCCAAAAATTCTTAATATAGATCCTTGATACAGATTCCTATTTATCATTAGCAAGAATTTCAACAAAATACAAAAATTTTCTCGTTCATAAATATATCGTCCAAATTCTAATGGAACGAGGCAATCAGGAAATAGCAGAATTTCATTTACGTTTCCAAAAATTCTTAATATAGATCCTTGATACAGATTCCAATTTAACCTTAGCAAGAATTTCAACAAAATACAAATATTTTCACGTTCATAAATATATCGTCCAAATTTCAATCGAAGGAGGCAACCATGAAATAGCAGAATTTCATTTACGTTTCCAAAAATTCCTACTATAGATCCTCGATACAGATTCCTATTTATCATTAGCAAGAATTTCAACAAAATACAAATATTTTCACGTTCATAAATATATCGTCCAAATTTCAATCGAAGGAGGCAACCATGAAATAGCAGAATTTCATTTACGTTTCCAAAAATTCCTACTATAGATCCTCGATACAGATTCCTATTTATCATTAGCAAGAATTTCAACAAAATACAAAAATTTTCGCGTTCATAAATATATCGTCCAAATTCTAATGGAACGAGGCAATCAGGAAATAGCAGAATTTCATTTACGTTTCCAAAAATTCTTAATATAGATCCTTGATACAGATTCCAATTTAACATTAGCAAGAATTTCAACAAAATACAAATATTTTCACGTTCATAAATATGTTGTCCAAATTCCAATCGAACGAGGCAACTAGGAAATAGCAGAATTTCATTTACGTTTCCAAAAATTCCTACTATAGATACAGATTCCTATTTATCATTAGCAAGAATTTCAACAAAATACAAAAATTTTCGCGTTCATAAATATGTCGTCCAAATTCCAATCGAACGAGGCAACTAGGAAATAGCAGAATTTCATTTACGTTTCCAAAAATTCCTACTATAGATACAGATTCCTATTTATCATTAGCAAGAATTTCAACAAAATACAAAAATTTTCGCGTTCATAAATATGTCGTCCAAATTCCAATCGAACGCGGTAACCAGGAAATAGCATTGGTTTCCCTTAGTATTCCAAAAATTTCTACCACAGATCACCGACACTGCGGATTTCCCATCGATCATTTACAAAAACTCTAGGAAAATGCAAAAACGTGCACTCTCATAAATTCATGGTGGAGGTTCCAGCCGAACGAGGTAGCACGAGAAGACAGAAGTGGGTTTTCGTTCGGAACCGACGTTCACCGTCCTACCTGTTGGTCTCCCACCTGGTCTATGTCGGAGGAACTCTTCCCCGGCTGGAGAAGTAAAACTCCCAGACGTTTTCCGATCTCCAACAGTCCTGAACTCGTCCTCGTCAACGTGTGAACTTGTCAGCCAAGCAAGTCTGACGCGTCTCCGCCATTGTCCTCTTGTTTTCGTTTCTCCGCTAACACGAGAAACAGGAACAAGCCGGCTATTCTTCCTCTCTATAACACGCTCTCAGAACGCTATTTTCCCCTTCGAGCAAACGCTTTCATTCCGTTTCGTTTCGTTCTGTCAGTCGACTCTCTCCTGTTCTTCGGCCGTCTTCCAATTTCTTCGCGTCTTCCTTCGATTTGATTCCTGTGTTTGCTTCTGTCCATTCACGCGTCCACGAGGAAGGAAGAAAAGGGAAGAGAAAGGAAGGGAAGTTCGACAGAGGTTGGCAGAACGAGGAAGTAGTGCTATTATTCGGTTCGATCGAGCAAGTTGGAAAGTAACTCGACGTCGGAGGAAGAAAAGCAAGAGACGTAGTGGGGTGTGGATGTTCCGGTGGTGAAGTTCGTAGAAAAAGGCAAGCAGAGTGTGAACATCGGTCGATAACAGAGGAGAGAGGAAAATCGTCGACGTGATGAGGCGGTGGAATATTTTGTGTTTCCTGTGGATCGCAGTGATCCTGAGGATAGAGGGTCTCGTTGCTGCTGAGGCTGACCCGGCGCTGCTGACGGACACTGACCTAGCTCATTTCCAACAGGTGAGAACAGGTTTCGTTTTGGTTTTTATTATTAAATTTCTTGCTATTTTTTGTCACGGCATTGAAGACAATTGGTGTTCTTAATTCTGTTGACGCTTACGTCGAGTATATTCGTCGTGAAGTGTTGACAATTCTTTGTTCAATGACGAGTAAATTCGTCGCGAAAAGGTGACAATTCTTTGTTCAATGACGAGTAAATTCGTCGCCAAGAGGTGACAATTCTTTGTTCGACGACGAGTATGTTCGTCATGAAGAGGTGACAATGCTTTGTTCAATGACGAGTATATTCGTCGCGAAGAGGTGATAATTCTTTGTTCAATGACGAGTAAATTCGTCGCCAAGAGGTAACAATTCTTTGTTCGACGACGAGTATGTTCGTCATGAAGAGGTGACAATGCTTTGTTCAACGACGAGTATATTCGTCGCAATGAGAGGTTAATTCTTTGTTTACGACGAGTATATTCGTCGCGAAGAGGTGACAATTCTTTGTTCAATGACGAGTATATTCGTCGCGAAGAGGTGACAATGCTTTGTTCAACGACGAGTATGTTCGTCATGAAGAAATGACAATTCCTCGTTCGACGAATATGTAAGTCGTGGAGAAAAAGTAATCTGCTTTAGCTGCTTAAAGTACGATGTGGTACGATAAGTTAAAATATATTCGTAATTTTGAAACATTTTACAGAAACTAATGCTTGATTATATAATATAAATATATTTTTAATTCCGAATATTGCTTCTTTTATAGATAAATCGAATTTTGAATTGGAATATCAATTTTTTGAAAAAATAACCTTTTATTTTGTTATAATTCCTTTCAATTTTACAGCACAGTGCATTTACTCTGTTTTCGCCGAGTATAGTTGTCGCTTAAAAATAATTGAGCATACAGGTGTAGACAATTTTGAAATATGACTTTCTAAGATATTAGGTACTTCGATTACGTCTATGTTTGTGACGTTTTAAATTCACCTAATTATATGAATTATTCTTGTTTAGTTCTTTTAGTTTATCCGTGGAAGAAGTTTATTGTTACTAAAATTCATAATATTACATAATAATACCAAAATATTATTTTTATTGTGTAATTTCTAATATTTCTAAATTTCTAAAATTAATTTATAATTTGATAAAATTAATATCGATTTTTATCGAAATGCAAACATAATTACACATACTCATTTACTTTTTATCAATTTAATTTATTATTATCGTTATATATACATACTATTATATATTGATATTATAATATTATATAATATATATATATATATATATTAATTATAATTTACAATATACAATATAATTATATTATATAACATAATATATATTTATTACATGTATTATATAT